CAACGCAATCATAGGTTTGAACGTTGTTTTCAATTTAGACTTGTTGTATATTTTTGCGTTTGGGCTTGTATTATATTTGCCTTCGGGTTTATATGATCAGTTCATCCTATTTTGACTTCTCAAAATTCAAGAGTCTATCCTAAATTGAGGTAAATTGTATGGTTTTCCAAACACGGTTTCGATTCCTAACATCACTGAAGAGACATTAATTGTCGAAATCCCGATATGGTGTACAAAAAATCTTTGCACCTTTGTTTGCGGTATACCATCTTTGCCGCAAGTTTATTGTTTTTTGTTTGGTATTAAATTTATAGTTAAGATCCATTTATTACACCTTGTGATCCGTTTATTTTGCAATCACCAATGGCAGTCAGCAGGATTTAATAACATTTGTTGTTCGACCTGTTAGTCAAATGCGTTTTGTTAAAATATACCTTTTCACTTTTTTGGTCTTTTGGAAAATGTTGTTTGTGCTGTATTTAGACCCCTCTAACAAGAAATTTGTTTTGCATGAACACATATAAAAATTGCGGTTTTTATCCAATGCAATCATAGGTTTGAACGTTGTTTTCAATTTAGACTTGTTTATATATATATATATATACACTTCTTTTTACTTGATTTTAATAATTGCAAACACGTTTATTCCAATTTTCTGATAGTGTTTTTTATTATTTGAATTCCCGTAGGTATTGCCAAAAGAAATAAGGTTTATTCAAGGGTTTACACATCTTCATAGCTAAAATATGTTGATACTTATATCACGAACAGAAATCTATGACAAACATTCTTAAATTGTCAGTATATGAATTTAGATTGTTTTTAAGAAATGTAGGTTTCAGCTACAGCAGACTAAATTGGCCTTTGATGGATTGAAGGCTTATGTAAAAATAAGAAAATGTGGTATAATTGCTAGTGAGTCAACCATTCAAGAAAGTTCAAATCAAGAGGAATGTTAGCAGTTATATCTATACGACCTTCAATAATGAAAAAAATACGGAAACTGAAAAGGGTTATTAAAGGCCCCGCCCCAACATGAAAAAATATGAAACAATTCAATTGAGCAAACTAACGGCCTACTTTATTTCAAAGCTATCTTGCCACAAAAAAAAAGCCCCAATACATGTATATAACAGAATTGATGTTACGAAAACCACTGAACTACGTGCTTTTAACTTTGGACAGACACATAAACACACAGAATGTTGTGAATGTGTATAGGTCCTTTATTGGTCATATAGCTGTACACTCCTATCTATTTTATACATTCTTTGGCTTTCAAATATTTAGCATTGAGCGTTCCTAGTGAAAGTAAATCCAGAAAAGTGTTACGGATGCATGAAATTAATAAAGTGTTGTTTTGTGAGGGGATCAAAACGTAGGGATCGATGTTATTGTCTGTTTTATATTTAACTGGTCCGCCGTTCTATCTATAGCTTGGCATCGATAAGTGAACACAACAGGGGTCCAGTTTAGTTTTATATGTGCAGTAATATCGGCGTTCTAACTTTAGTGAAAATCTGCCAGTTGTTTCATGTATTTGATATGCAAATTATCACAAAACTAAAAGGATAAGATGGATGAATTAATAGTTGATCTTTTAACGTCCAGTGGCATATATTATAGATTGATTATTAGGGGGAATACAATAATAATTATGATATGATTATGAACATTGGCAATCATACCACAACTTATTTTTTATAAGAACGTACATGTGTAGATTTTCGTCTTTTACTGTAAACGACAGTGTCCCCGGGAGTCAACGCCGAAATCAAACTTGTGTAAATTTCTGAAACATACATTTCATTATTTAACCCAATGTAAAGCAAAACAAATAATACCGTTTTGAGCTTTAAAACCAAGGCAACCCTTTATACTAGTCAAAAGTTGCTGGATCTTGATAGATGCATACGAAACTTCAATTAATTGTTTGTAGTTTTCAATCTTTTATATCCGATAAAAATGAACAAAAAATCTATCGGATAAAAACTACCAATTTTTCTATGAGACAAACTTTATTCTTATTGGAGTCGAATTTGTCATATGGATTCATAAAGGACAAAATGTCCTCAGTAACGGAACAAAAAATACCCCCATGGTAAAAAAAAATCCGTCATTCTTTAATAATCCTACATGTAGAAGTTTAACAAAGTACTATTGTGAATAATTTTTTCGGATATTAATCTTTTAGACATACATTAAAAACGGTGTCCTTGATATGCAACCATGAACACAATGAAAAGTGAATCCGTGAAAGTGTTCCATGTGTATTCCATTCAAATAAAGACTTGTTATGATAATACCATTTATTTAACTATTTCATCAAAAAATTTAAATAAAAAAGAATGTATGTTAAACTCGTAAACACTATTTCAAGTTTAAAAAGTTCCTCCATTTAAAATCCTTCTTAAGGAATACGTGATATATTTGACTGATCTTATACTTGTTTAATTAAAAAAATTCCTTCAAATACATATAATGTTTATTTTTATTCAATTTTCCACAAAACATTTTTAGCTTAGTTTAAATGAAAATAAAGAACAGAGAATAAAAACACTGTTGAAGAGAAAATACATATTCGTGTTAAATTCATCTCAGTTTAATTTGTTAATTCAAGTTTGACATCTCACATCTTAATCCGCAATCCACATTTACCCGATAATCTTGTATATTGTATTTTCTCAATGGATAAACTAACGTGCATGTGACCATCAGAAACTAAGACAAAAATGATATTTGTAATGGTATTTATCAAAACTTAAATGTTTGAATATATCTTAGTAGAATATGAATTTGCCAAATAAGCGAAGAATTATAATCTAGCCTAGTTCAATATTGGAGAAATGACTCAAGTTGAACGCTAATTCAATACTGATTCAATATTTTATTATATAGTCTCACCACATACACACATAAAATGAGAATCACAGAAATAAACATAAAACATTAAAACATTTGCATTGTATGTACCAATCTTAAAAAGAATAATGAGAGACTTTTAAGACACAATATATTTACTCATTTACATTTAAAATTTACAGTGTCCACCTGTACTATATGAAAATAAAACTTTTTTTTTTCTTTGAGAACTGGGAAATAAAATGCCGTTTCTTTTCAATAAAATATTGTTGATGTTTTTGGCAACTATAGCAGCAACATTGTCGATATTAAATACTAAATATAAATTTTTCGCTATCTGATAATTATAGTTCAAAATGTTCATTAAAATGTTTAGCTTAATGTATCATAATTTATATGCTACATATAATTGGCATTTTAAAATGACACGAAGTTCATCTTCAATAGTAGAGCTACAACACATGTCATCTCGTGGACTCTTTTTCTTTCATACTTTCCAGTTTCTATTTTTAGTGGAGCTACCCCACATCTAAATTTTGCAAAAGCACTTTTGTTTTTAATTGACAGAATATTTTAAACAAATAACAGTTGGCCAACAGTATATTTTTAAGCCCATTTCGCTAAGTTGAATAGAAATTCCAATTTTAACTGTTCTGTCCTAGAAATGTCATCATGTTATTGTTTGTACGTAGAACATGTATCATTATATTAAAATGTGTTAGTCCCAGTCAAGATCCACTGAATAACCACGAAATGTTTACAGATGATAAATAAATTTTACACAAAAAGTCATGAATCTGTAAGAACGTTCTGTATGATGAAGTTAATTAAGTGTTAACAAGAAAGTAAGTATGAATGTAAATTTTATTTTAAGTCGGAACATATATATACACTTTAACCGTGAGATGAAATATAAGCTTTGATGAGCTCTATAACCGACTATCATATAAAAACCGCAATGAATGAACCTTACACAATAAGAGATGAACGTTTGACAAATGCACGTTATCTGATGTACACAGTTATACACGATAGACGAACACACGATACACGGTTATGAATGAATGATTGATGAACGCACAATACACGGTTAAGAATGAATGATTGATGAGCGCACGATACACGATTAAGAATAAACGATGCACGCACGTTACACGGAAAATACACGGAACTATGAATGATGAACACACAATTGTTACACGCACGATACACGATGAACGCACAGAATAATGTTCAGTTTGAATTTTAGAAGGTCTGTATGCTCATGTCATATCATAGGCTTATGTAACCGCTTATGCTCATATCATATATGCTAATGTCACATATTTTGCTCATGCCACAGCATATGCTCATAACTTCAGCATAAAAGGTAACATGAGCATGCAATATGACATTTCAACAACTTGCACAGTTTTTTTTTCAGAATTTGTCTATGCAAATTTTATATTAATAATATGAGCAAAAACAGACATGCAGTATATTCAAATCTTTCTTGATGTCTTTCTTGTATTGTTTGGTTGCTATCTCATAAAAAAAGAATTAACATCTTTGTTTTAAATACGTTTCTAACCATTGATTTTTTTAAATGTTTTTTCATAAATCCCAACATTTCCACCATTGATGAGCTGTATTCAAACAGTGAATGCTTGTAAGAAAAAAATACAGCCTCCATGCAGACAATATATAATTTGACCACAGAGGGTCTCAGCATACAAATATGGGTACAGACGTTCGGCTGGGGTTTAAAAAAACACGCCCCATTCATATATTGATTTTTGTGAAAACACCTACCCATACATATATTTCATATGAAAATCTTAACCCATTTATATATTTCCTTCCTATCAGACCTACAACATGTGATATCTTATTTAGATGTTGACCACATGAAGTTATTCAAATTATTAGATAAAAAGATTGGTACACAGTTTTACAGACATCTCAACAGAAAATGAATATTTATGACCCATTGTTATATTTCCTCGAAGAAATTACACCCTATTGATATATTTGACATTCTAAAAAGGTGACCCCCCCAGTGGCACATCTATGTATACCTTTATATAGCAATAGACCCCCCCCCCCCCCCTCCTCATCTCTGTGAATTTGTACAATAATCCTGATTATTCATCTTTCAGTAAAGGCTAAGAAGTTTGATTTGCACAGACTAGATTTAGATATGGGGACTCCAGACAGGATGCGGAGGTCATTAGGTACTAAGAGTAGAGAGAGGACTAAATCATCATTTAGACTTACCAATATGGTTGTAGATGAACAATCAACAAATGTCACTTTTAAGGTACAGTATATTTAGTGGACCAATTCAATCATTTTGGTGTATTATGTGAGTGTCACTGTCTATAAGCAGTGAATTTTTATATGGCAGTGTCACTGTGTATAAACAGAGAATCTTTTTATGGCAGTGTCTAAAATGTGACAAAAATTTTCAACTTGGCTATCATGTGTAAAATAATACAAGTGTTCGGTAAACAGGAAGTTGTTGAGTGATGAATCTGAAAACGCATCACACGGTGTAACTTACTTAGGGATCATAGATTTATTCTTACGAGGAAGCTCCGAGCATGCTGCAAGCATGCTCAGAGTTTTTTAAGTAGTCTCTATTCAGCAGTTTATGTGACTATAATTATCATGATCAGTTAAGATGTCAATCAAATCTATAGCACTTCTATAAAAAGGAAAGTAAAGCATTATAGAGGAAGCTCAATTAACACCTGTGTAAACATCTGGTCTATTCAAATACAACTTGCATGATTTTACAAAACTATTGAATAGATAAGAAATTCTTCAATAGTACTGTGTAATGCTTGGAGAACAATATTTCAAGGTAAGAAATATTTCGGCGGGGGTATCATCAGTGAGCAGTAGCTCACAGATTTACTTGTTATGGCAGTGTCATTATATATAAAGAGTGAATCTTTTCTGGCAGTGTCATTATATATAAACAGTGAATCTTTTCTGGCAGTGTCTTTTTGGAAAAAATTCACTAGTGTAAAAATTCCATGACAACTTTTGGCTACAGTTTTATTTCTGACTGCATAAACACACTACTGGAAGGAATAAATGCACTAGGACATTTCCTGTTCTGAAAATTCTGAATAGTGGAATTTTAAATAATGTACGCTTAAAACTGTTTTTGACAGTTTGTTTGATCTCAACATCATTTACAATTAAAGGAATCTGAGGCAATTTAAAGTGATGGAAGTATTATTTCTGAATTGGTGTATTGCATCAGTTTCTTGTCAATTGTTTGTTTTCTATTAGGAGCAAGTCTGAGTTGCTGACCTTATTAATTGTAGGTTTTTCATGGATTTGGTTGGTAAAGTTGAACCACAGATTTAACGGTTCAACAAAGTACAAATGTTATATCCTTTGTTTTTCTATTGTATGCAGACTTTGGCAAAACCACAAAATCAAATATCAAGAAAAGTACATTTTTTCTCCATCCACAGAAATTGGTATCCACGAAAATAATTGGATCCACAGTAGGAGCAATTCTGAGGTGCTGACCTTATTCAGTTATTGATTGTATGATGGACCTTAGCAAACAAATGCTATCAAGAAATATGAAAATTTTCCATTGTCATCTCCATAGTTTACCAAAATGTTATTTTATTTCTTATGCAATTATCACAAATATGCAATGGCTGAAATCTTTTAAATTGAGAAATGAATTCTGATTTTGCAAGATTCAGTTTATGTAAATGCAATTGACCAAGCACATTTTGTCTGAAGCCTGAAAGTAATTCTTGCTTAAAGAAAAAATTCTGCCAAAGGAACTCCTGCTTCCTAATGGATTTTGAGAATCTCCAGTTCAATTATATATTATTACAGGATGACAGTAAGTCAGGTCACAGGAAAGGCATGTTACCAGCTGTCGATATGGATGTAATCCGTCAATTGATGGATGACTTTTTCCCTGATTTACGTGGCACAGCCTCATTTGATTCCATCCTGCAGAATCTAATCAGAATGTTGGATACAGAAGACGAGGAACTCCATAGAAGAATCTGTGATTATGTCATTTCTATACATAGGTATGTGTAATATTGAATCTTTCCCAGTAGTATACTTTTCATTTGGAGTAAATTCATAAGTGTATAAATTCATTGACAAATTTTCCCTAGGGTTTTGTTTCTGATGGAACAAACTTGTGAAGAAAGTAGAATGAGATGTGGATTAGTTTTAAAGTTAATTCTGTGAATATGCTAGCAATGTATTCTTCTGTAGAGTATGACTTTTGCTTATTGTTGAAGGCAGTTGTCTTTGACTTTTAATCTTTCATCTTTGTCTAATTGGCAATCATATCACATCTCCTGATTAATATATGTTCAGTCATGTTTGCAAATATTCATAAACAGAAAGGATATGATTGATGACAGGAGCAAGTGGTGATCTATAATTGACCTGGACTAAGTTATAATTGGCCAAATATATATATGTGCTTAACTTGTATCAAATCGATCCTCAGAATGTTTTTATCTCAGGAAGCAGTTGATAGTTTGATACCAAATTATATTAACAACAAACACTTCAATCTTGGTTTAAGATCACAGTTTATTGGGGCAAAATAAAGCTACAATAACTGCCTGTTGCAATAAATGGGCCGAAACAATTAGTAATAATTAGGAGAGGTGTTCCTGGCATTTTAAATTGTAGGGCCTGTTAATAATAATTTTGATTTGTCAATTTAGTACTTAATGCCAATTGAACCTAAAAATAGGAAGTTCTAGACAATCGTTATTTCAAATTTGTACATTGCTACAATGTAAAGTACAACTAGACTGAATAAAATTATCATAGATATGAGGATTACATTTTTTTTCCCAGATGCCTGTTTCGTCTACAAAAGACTTGTAAGTGACGCTCAAATCAATAAAGTTAAAATGGCCATATAAAGGATGAAGTTGAAGAGCATTTAGGACCCTTAATTCTGAAAGGTTTTGCGAAATACAGCTAAGATAATCTTTTCCTTGACACATTCATTATATTCTGAAAATTATGTTCCAAATGTATGCATATTTATGATAAAAGAAAGAGAAGTAACAGAAAAAAAATACTTTAATATTTATATCTTGATTGGTAATTATATACAGTTTAGCCAATTTCAGATATTTCTGATATTAAATAACATGGAGAAGTTATTTCTGGGTATTACACACATATCCAGAAAATATATTCACTGATAAGTTGGTTAGATAACCTTGCTTGAAATAATTTAACCTATTAATCATAATATTTCAATAATAAAAATATTTTAAAAAGACATGGAATTAGCTGAATATGAGATAAAATTGTGTGAAGTCATGACTGCCACAACTTTCCAAGTGTGTGTGATGTTGCTATTGCCACAATTTTATATCCATATTAAGGCCTGCATTTTGCAAAGTTCACACAACTTGGAATCAGTTGTGAATCCTTAACAAATTGTTCAAATTACAACTGAAAGAAGAAGTGAAATACAGGCTAGGATGAGAACAAATGAAATATATACAGTCGGGTAGTTTTTAAAGTGGATGGTTAGGAAGGATAGGTAGTTTGTTTTTGGCTATTTTTTTGGAAGGCACTTTTAACTGTTTCACTGATGTCCAAATTCCATACAGGGTGAGTAATCAGAAGTGCGAATAGAGGGAAAACTATTACAGTGGAGAAAAAATTTATCGCAGAATATTTATTTATTGCATTACAGGGATATAGGTATACAGGATCATTACCTAGACAGAATTATCAGTAAATTGTCTGTACAGCTAGGAGGAGATAACTCTTCATTTAAAATGGATGCATTGCGAACCTTGAAGGTGATAGGTGTTGACAGACAGGATGTTCTAGCTATTGTACTGCCAAGACTTATAGACTCTCAGGTAAATGTAGAAATTTACTTACATCATAAACAGTGAAACCTGTTTTAACTGAAATCTTGCTCTAAGACGTAAACTGACTGTTCTTTAATGATTTTACTTGTTTATACTTGCCCAAAGCTGTCTGGATCATTTTCATTGTAAATTAAAATACAAAAATTTTGAAAAATATTTGTAGTGATTTAGTTCTGAATTATAGTTGATAACGATTCTATTTTGGTGCATGGTCATAAATTATATGAATTAAAATTTAGTCGACTCTCGTTGTCTCGAAGTCATCCGGACCAGAGAAATATTTCGAGATACCCATAGTTAGACTCCAGCAAATGAAGTTTGACAGACCTAGGGACATAACTCTTGCTTAGATTGGTAAGGCTTTAATAAAGCCAGATTTATATGGTTAGGGAATCAATATTCTGGTTTGAGATCCATGTATCTGTATGTGCTGGTCTTTTATTATTATGATAAAATTATGTTTTTTTGTCTCTTAGCTGAAAGAATAATTTCCAATTGATCCTAGGGGGATTTTCAGTTGACAACATTGTTCATTCAAGTATGCAACAGATTTGAGAAAATTGATATTTCTTTTCATTTTCTTTTATTTTGAACTTTTTCCGCAGGAAAATACAATTGATTAAAGATGCTGATTGAGTAGTTTGGAGTTGTTCACTTTATGCACAACCACGCCCATTATTTTTTAATTACGATTAATTAACTTACAGACATTTTAAATAATTTTTCATGATTATAACAATGTATCACTAATTATGTGTTATGGTGATCAACGAAAATCTTAGGTAAACACTTGTTAGAAAAGAATGTCATCAATCAATACAGTGGTCAACGACAAGATTAATTACAGGTGTATTGTCAGATTAACTCTTCAATCCATTCAAATCCTCGTGGTGATGTTTTGACATGTGGATAAGTTCGAGATAATTAACGCAATTTAGATGCCTTTGTTAACATTGTGACAGTAAATTTGGTTGGAGTCGTCCAAAATTTTCAACTCATCGGGAGTCGAAATTCATACCAATAGTTCGGGACCACAGGAAAATTTCGACTCATCTGAAATCTCAAGTCGCCCGAGTTTGAGACAACGAGAGTTAACTGTATTTGTATTGATACATTTTTAGCTCACCTGGCCCGAAGGGCCAAGTGAGCTTTTCTCATCACTTGGCGTCAGTCGTCCGTCGTCGTTAGCTTTTACAAAAATCTTCTCCTCTGAAACCACTGGGCCAAATTTAACCAAACTTGGCCACAATCATCATTGGGGTAGTTAGTTCAAAAAAATGTGTCCAATGACCCCGCCAACCAACCAAGATGGCCACCATGGCTAAAAATATAACATAGGCTTAAAATGTAGATTTTGGCTTATATCTCTGAAACCAAAGCATTTAGAGTAAATCTGACAAGGGGCTAAAACTGATGATCAGGTCAAGATTTATCTACCCTGAAATTTTCAGACAAATCTGACACCCCGTTGTTGGGTTGCTGCCCCTGAATTGGTAATTTTAAGGAAATTTTGCAGTTTTTATACGACCGCAAAAAAATTTTGTGGTCGTATATTGGTATGACGTTGGCGTCGTCGTCGTCGTCGTCGTCGTCCGGCGTCGTCGTCGTCGTCCGGCGTCGTCGTCCGAATACACATTGGTTTTCGCACTCTAACTTTAGTTTAAGTGAATGGATCTTTTTGAAATTTGACCATAAGGTTAAATACCACAAAAGGAAGGTTGGGATTGATTTTGGGGGTTATGGTACCAACAGTTAAGGAATTAGGGGCCAAAAAGGGGCCAAAAATAAGCATTTTCTAGTTTCCAGACAATAACTGTTGAACGGTGTATGGATCTCTCTGAAATTATACTACAAGTTTCCATACCACAAAGGGATGGTTAGGATTTGCTTTGGGGGGTTATGGCTCAAACCGTTTAGGAATTAGGGGCAAAAAAGGGGGAAAAACAAGGTTGTCCTGGTTAATGGACAAATACTTTAGTACAAAACATAATTTAAAGCAGTGTAAGGGAGATAAATCAAATACATCATTGAAATTATCTCCCTTACACTGCTTTTAAATTATGTATAAAGTAATGGTTAATGAACAATAAAGATAATTTAAAACAGTGTAAGGGAGGTAATCAAAATACAACGTTTTGGTTACTTCCCTTACACTGCTTTTAAATTATGTTTAAAGAAATGCATATTTATAAAGGAAGACCAGTAAAAATATCTGCAAATGTTGCATCTTTTTTTTTACAAAAAAATCCATATGAAAGATTTGACACTATATTTTTATACGACCGCAAAAAAATTTTTGTGGTCGTATATTGGTATGACGTTGGCGTCGTCGTCGTCCGTCGTCGTCGTCGTCGTCGTCCGGCGTCGTCCGAAGACACATTGGTTTTCGCACTCTAACTTTAGTTTAAGTGAATGGATCTTTATGAAATTTTACCACAAGGTTCAATACCACAAAAGGAAGGTTGGGATTGATTTTGGGGGTTATGGTAATAACAGTAAAGGAATTAGGGGCCAAAAAGGGGCCAAAAATAAGCATTTTTGTAACTTCCAGACATAACTTGTGTGTTAGTGTATGGATCTCTCTGACATTGTACCACAAGGTTCCATATCACTAAAGGAATGCTGGGATTGATTTTGGGGGTAATTGCCTCCAAATTTTAGGAATTAGGGGCCAAAAAAGGGGCAAAAAACAAGCATTTTTCTAGTTTCATGACAATAACTTGTGTGTAAGTGTATGGATCTTTCTGAAATTGTACTACAAGGTTCCATATCACAAAGGGAAAGCTGGGTTTGAGTTTGGGGGTAATTGCTCTAAACGTTTAGGAATTTGGGGCCAAAAAGGGGCCAAAAAACACATTTTTTTCTAGTTTCCAGACAATAACTTGTGTTCAAGTGTATGGATCTCTCTGAAATTGTACTGCAAGGTACCATACCACAAAGGGAAGGCTGGGATTGAGTTTGGGGGTGATGAATCATAATGGGGGTTCAAAAAATTTTGGGGGGGGATTTATTTTTTTTTCCTTTTTTTTCTTTTTTTCCTTTTTTGTTTCTTTTAAAATTTTCCATTTTAAGTTGGTTATTTCTGATTTATATTTAAAATCAAATAATAATGATATGGTAGGAGATACACACCAAACAGGATGTGTAAATTATTATATAATAAGTATTGTGCAATAGCAAGAAATTTTCAATTGCACAGTATTGCACAATAGCAAGAAATCTTCAATTGCACAGTATTGCGCAATAGCAAGAAATCTTCAATTGCACAGTATTGCGCAATAGCAAGAAATATCCAATAGCACAATATTGCGCAATAGCAAGAAATTGTCAATTGTACAGTATTGCGCAATAGCAAGAAATATTTAACATGTTTAATAGCACAGGATTGTGCAAAAGAAGATACTTCCTATAAATTGCTTATTTCTTGACCAATTTCAATGGGGTTTTATTCTTGATTTCATGGGGTTCTTTGATATGCTGAATCTAACCGTTTATTTAGTTTTTGGATTTTGGGCCCCGTTTTTAAATTGGTCCACATTGAGGTCCAAAGGGTCCAAAATTAAACTTTGTTTGATTTCATCAAAAATTGAATTATTGGGGTTCTTTGATATGCCGAATCTAACTGTGTATTTAGATTCTTAAATTTTGGTTCCGTTTTCAAATTGGTCTACATTAAGGTCCAAAGGGTCCAAAATTAAACTTAGTTTGATTTTAACAAAAATTGAATTCTTAGGGTTCTTTGATATGCTGAATCTAAACATGTATTTAGATTTTTGATTATGGGCCCAGTTTTCAAGTTGGTCCAAATCGGGGTCCAAAATTAAACTTTGTTTGATTTCAACAAAAATTGAATATATGGGGTTCTTTGATATGCTGAATCTAACCATGTATTTTGATTTTTGGGCCCCGTTATCAACTTTGTCCACATTGAGGTCAAAAGGGTCCAAAATTAAACTTTGTTTGATTTCATCAAAAATTGAATTATTGGGGTTCTTTGATATGCCGAATCTAACCGTGTATTTAGATTCTTAATTTTTGGTTCCGTTTTCAAATTGGTCTACATTAAGGTCCAAAGGGTCTAAAATTAAACTTAGTTTGATTTTAACAAAAATTGAATTCTTAGGGTTCTTTGATATGCTGAATCTAAACATGTATTTAGATTTTTGATTATGGGCCCAGTTTTCAAGTTGGTCCAAATCGGGGTCCAAAATTAAACTTTGTTTGATTTCAACAAAAATTGAATATATGGGGTTCTTTGATATGCTGAATCTAACCATGTATTTAGATTTTTGATTTTTGGGCCCAGTTATCAACTTTGTCCACATTGAGGTCAAAAGGGTCCAAAATTAAACTTTGTTTGATTTCATCAAAAATTGAATTCTTGGGGTTCTTTGATATGCTGAATCTAACCATGTATTTAGATTTTGGATATTGGACCATAATAGGTGAATGTCCAATTTAAAATTTTTAAGTTCTTAGACCACATTCAATCTGTGTTAGAAACCTATGCTGTGTCAAATATTTAATCACAATCCAAATCCAAAGCTGTATCAAGCTTGAATGTTGTGTCCATACTTCCCCCAACTGTTCAGGGTTCGACCTCTGCGGTCGTATCAAGCTGCGCCCTGCGGAGCATTTTATTGGTTATTATCTTGAATATTATTATAGATAGAGATGAACTGTAAACAGCAATAATGTTCAGCAAAGTAAGATCTACAAATAAGTTTTTCATGACCAAAATTGTCAGTCGTCCCCTTTAGGAGTTATTGCCCTTTATAGTAAATTTTTATCAATCTTTCGTAAATTTTTGGCATCTTTTACAAAAATATTCTTCTCTGAAACTACTGAGACAAATTTAACCATAATTGGCCATAATCATTATTAGGGTATCTAGTTTAAAATATTTGTCCGATGACCCCGCCTTCCAACCATCATGGCCGACATGGTTAAAAATAGAACATAGGGGTAAAATGCAGTTTTTGGTTTAT